CGTAGTTGAAAGCTATTTTGAACATTAAATCATGACGGAAAACTATTTTTCACATGCTTTTAGATCCAGGGGTAATTTCATAATTCTATATTTTTCTTTAAAATATTATTTTAATTTTTTTTAGCAATTCTTCTTCTTTTTTACTTCCTAACTTGCATATGTTGGTATTATAATAATTATTTTTGAAAAATTTAGATTTGAAAAATTATTTTCTCATTGGTATTTTAACTTCTAGTTTATAAAAAAATAAAGAAGAGAAATTCAAATTGAAATAAATGTGAAAATTAATAATTAAATTAAATTGAGTTAAAAATAATTAAATAACCTAGAAGAAACAACTTGTCTTAGCTAATTTTTTAGTTTCTTTTTGGGTTTAAAACGATAAATTATTAATTTTTATGTTTATTCAACTCGAATATTTCTTCTTCATTTTTCTAATTTTTTTTAAAAAAATTTAGAATTTAAAAGTTAAAATATGAAAGTTAAATTAATTTTTGAAATTTAGAAAGTATACAACCAGTATATACAAGTTAGGAAGTATAAGAAGAAAAATTGTAAAAAAAAATATTTTTTTTCAAAATATTTTTTAAAAAATAAAAATTTAAAAATACTAAAATAACAAAAATACTCCTTAACCCAAAAACATGTAAAAAATAGATTTCTGTCACTATTTAACGAACGAAATTAACATAATGATCTCAGATGAATTTTTTTTGCTTAGTATGATGACCTGTTATACAAATAAATTTGATTAATGACCTGTATTAAAATTGCATAATAGTTTAATGACTTGTTTTGAGGTTCACTCTTTTAGTTTTAATACAATTTGTATTAGAAATACAAATCTATCGAGAATCAGTTTAGGACAGAAGTATAGTTGTCTAAATTGAATTGATGATTTTTTCTTCCTTGAAAAAAACAGAAGTAATCAAAGTAAAGGTATGTAATTTCAAGACATAAACATGAGAAGACTTAGAGGTTTAGCCATGGTAGCTTCAAGAAGATAACTGAACCGAAATTTGGAGAAAATTCTTTTTGTTTAAAATTTCGTTAATCACACGCTAATGGTGTAATTGTAAATAATTTTATAAACTAATAACCACTAACTAATCCTAACAGCTGTAATTAATACTATATAATGCCAACTCAGCTAATACGTACATCTACTTACTTATTACAAAGCCGTATATATGAGTCATTGAGTTCTATTACTTTCTCTGGTTAATATACGACATTTTGATTTGTCCTAAGTGTTAATATCTATTAGCTATCGCACATCGTTACCGTGAAAAAAAGTGACTCTGTATATAAGTGCTAAATACTACCTCAATCATTGCCAATTGGTTTTGAGATGGGAGCCCAAAGTACTTATACATTTTGACACTAAGTTTCACCTAATATGAATTGTTAATTGACAAAAAAAAACTTTTAAAATATTTCAAAACAATTAAAAGAACACAACGAATGTGGATATAGGAACCAGGATCAAACCCTTCCTCATGAATCTCATGTAATCGATCCTTTAATTCGTACAAAATACACGCAATGTCCACCGTCCACTTGAAATAAGAATTAATTTTCAGTACATCGCAAATATATATAATTCTACTTTTAGAATGAAATGAGAAATCTTTTATGTTTTCAAGGATACATATACACTGACGGATTTAGGTGTGCCCTGGGGCCATATAAAAATGATTGCTTAATTTTGAATGCTTAATATTGAATTAGAAATGCTGAATTCATTAAGTAGTTACAGAATAAGCAATAAGCTAACTTTATTGCTTATATTTTGTACTACAGTTTTAGCACCACTTATTCTATATTAAGAGGTTTGATAGGTCTTGAAGTTTCATGTTATTTATGGGTATTTGTATAGCATTTTGAATTAGATTGTGCACTTATATTGTGTATTTTGATGTTTTTGGATCTTATGAGTGATTGGAGCTGAGATGGAGAAAAATGTTACATAAACACGCAATTTTGGAGCATTTTGACAAGGAAGCACAAGAAGGGAGCAATGACGCCACATTCTCGTGTGGGCACACAAATCTTAGTCCAAAATTGAGCTTTATAGAAGAAATTCCAGTATTGATGCTGCATTCCCGTTTAGCCAAACCGAAGCACGCACTAAATTGATTTTATTCTTTTCTTTTGGAGGGGGGCTGAACGTAAGAAGAAGAAGAGGAGGCTGGAGTGGTCCCAAGCCGCAAATCTAGCCCTTTTGGACGTTATACTTCTCCATTCTCCATAGTTTTGTTTCAGTAAGGCTTTATTATGTGTAACTGAATTACTTTCCCAGTTGAAAGATATTGAAACTTTAGTTCTCAATAATTGTGAGATCTAAATATTTTTCATTTCTCAATTCTTTGTAAGTCTTTGCTTGTTCTTTTGAATGATTGATATGAAAATTTTGAATGCATGAATAGCTGGTAGCATTCATTATTTCATGATAGTTAACGACCAATAAGGCAGCAAGGTTTGTTGTTTTAAAAGGGACTGATATAATTAAATTACTTGGTACGTGATTTTGTTATGTTATAAGAACAAGTAATCTGATTTTTTAAAAAATAAGGTTTGTTTCATAGGAATCAGAATTGGGTCTTTGTACTTAATGCAGTCATTTTCTTAATCTTTGGAGGTTCTAGGATTTAATTTCGACTAGTGTGTTTAATGAAAGTTTTCTAAATTATTAAACTTAGTTCAAGATTGAGTTGTTAAGAGGTTCCAACAATGAAAACTAATTTGCCTATAAGTGATTGAGCATATCATTGCATCTATGATCAATTGCCTAGACCAAGGTAGATATAAAATCCTTCGACTAGAAACTTTCTCACAATTTGCTTTCATTTTTTAAACTATCATTTGAATTTTATTTTAACTACATTTTAGTTTTAAAAACTCAAAACCCCCTTTTCTGTTACTTATTTGAAAGAAACGAATCCACCATTCCCTGAGGAGACGACCTTGCTTTCCTATGCTACTAGTTTGATAGTAGGTTAAATTGTTTGTTGGCTTGACACCCCACCAAGGTTAATTTTTTATTATGAAATATACTGAATTGAAAAGAATACTTAATCTAATAATTTTAAGCATTATTAAATGGTGTTATCAAACAAGCCGTTGTCTTACTTTTTTTTTCGCCCCTCTGAATTGCGTTTTGGGCCAATTACAATAGCCCAAATCTAACTCAAATTTTTTAGATTTAGACATTTCTAAGATCAAAACAAAATTAAAAATCATTTATAATTATAACTAGATGCTTGCCCCGGGCGAATGCCCGGGGTGCCGCCTGTATTTTTAAATCGATTAAGTAAAAAATACAAATTTATTTTTAAAAGAATAAAAAATAGAAGAATAAAAAATCGATTGAAAGGACAGAAAGTGAGTTGTTATACATAAATCTATGCTCAGATTTATAACATTTAATTTACAGCAGTTAACTTATGCCCGGGTTTACATAAATCATAAACCAATATCTACAACAGAAGAATAAAAAAAAATCATCCTTAAAAAATCAAATTTCTTTCATGACAGCTTATTTTGTCTCTGTTGTAGAAAGAGATGGATTGATAATTGATGTCAGATTTTAAGTAATTGATTTAAAGGCCCGGGTGTGAGAGAGGAGCAGAATGGAAGAAATTCTTTGAAATTGGGGATTGGGAAGACATTATTGTGTTTCACTTGATTTAAGGGGATTTCCTTACATTTGATTTTATTAATTAAATATTATTATTTTAAAAGATTAGTATATACCTATAATTAAGAGATTTTTATATAGCTATAATTAAGGGATTTATGTATTTATCTATTCCATCTTTTTTTTTGATTAGTTAGAGTGCCACTTGTCAAAAATGATTTTGTACTGAAAATGTCTTTTGGCGGGAAAATTTTCATTGTAGTGCTGACACATGTCTTTTTTGTTTGCTGCTTTAATTAAGTACTATGGATTATAATTCGATAATTGACTTATAGGGTCGTGAAAATTTTTTTAAATATTTTCCAATGTATGTGCTTAGATAGATATATAGTTTTGACTAAGAGAATAATTTTGGTTCTATGTACTGATAGATAGAGAGCCTTTTTTAGCTCTGAATATGATGAAAAGATGCATAGCCAGATACAAAACACTATCAAGTTCTGGACTATCAAGATGACGGTATCAAATCAAAGTAAATGGAAACCCCTGTCCATCGTTTTTTTGCAATGTTTAATTTGTCCATCCAATCAAAGTACTTACGCCTAATCAGAGATAAAGGTTCCGTCGTTTCCTTGAGAGCTTTTTGGCAATGATCCAAACAATGGTTTTTGGTTGTAACAAAAATAAAAGTCACAGGGAAACGAACTAAGAGACAGCACGGCAAGTCTCCCGGACTTTTTTTCTCAGCAATCTTGGAAATCAACTTAGCCTTAAGCATACTGTATATGGGTGGCCTTATTGCCGAGATCTGATCAAGGGAAGCTGTTCTTGGTGGCCTTATCCTTGGATTCGTGAGGAACCAAAGACCAAAGTTTGTTCACATTCTTGATTGGGCAATGGAACTTAATTGATGTATTGAGTGCTATGAATTAGAATTTACTAGTCATTGTTTTTGCTGAATTTTTCATTACTCCGTACATAATTCGTTTTGTTGTAATGATTTAATGGGAACAGAAAAATATACAGAGGATTGATTCATTTGAGATTGGAGTACAATAATTGGAGTATATATCTTTATAAGAAAAAGCCGGCGATGGAGGATGGACTTTTTAGAAGTTCTAATATGAAAAAAAGTAAAAGTAAATGGAAAAACTCATCGTAATAATAATAATAAAAAAAAACTAATCAAATTAGTCTCAATTCACGTATCTTTATTAAGATTAATTATATTTTATCATAGTAATGGTAAAAAAAAATTATGTAACTGTAACTTATCTTCTTTTTTTTAAAAAAAATTAATTGTATCTTATCTAATTAGCCAATTATTAATTATAATCTAGCATTGTTATGGTGTTGCACACCCCATGATAATATATGGTGTATCTCATTTTTATTGGATATATTTTAACTAGATGGTTCAATGTTACACCAAACTTTTTTTTTTTTTTTGGATATGCTCCATATCTGGCTTTTACAATTCAATGTATCACGTTCACCAGTGGAAAACGCAACCTAATTTAGAGATTAATACTTTTTTGCCAGGAGAGAAAGAGGAATTCTTTTATGCATAGTAACTCCCCGCGCTGTGTCCACATCAATATCTTCTATTTTCATCCCTGTAGGCAGTTCCCAATCAAAAGAGTAAAGGAAATAGGCAAGTGCAATTTTCGCAATAGACGTAGCTAGAGAGATTCCAGGACATATCCTTCTTCCAGCTCCAAGTGGAATTAGTTGAAAATGATTTCCACGAAAATCGATACAATTGTTCAAAAATCTCTCCGGAACAAAATCTTCTGGGTCATTCCAGCTTTCGGGTTCCCTGGCTATAGCCCATGCATTGATGAGAACCATAGTTTTGGCTTCAATATGATATCCTTCAATGGTACAATCTTTTGTAGTTTCTCTTGGTAAAACAATCGGTATTGGCGGATGCATTCTAAAAGTTTCTTTGATTACTGCATCCAAGTAAGGAAGTTCCTGAAGTAACTCTTCTGTTATTACTCCTTTCTTACTCACTATTTCTCTTATTTCAGATTGGGCTCTCTTCATAGCAGGAGGAGTTCGCATGAGAGCTGTCATAGCCCATGTAATTAGGGCTGAATTTGTATCCGTTCCGGCTACAAAAATATCCTGCGACATATGTAGATGAGATGCTAATTTTTTTTAAAAAAAATCGAGAATAATTGAGAGCAAGCAAAGTTGTACTCATTCATGTGACAAAAAGAAATTAAATATGTATCACTAGTACTCAGTACGAGATTGTACATCATCCACAAATAAATTTGGTTAGATTAACCAAAATGTAATCACATCACATCAGAGAGAGAGAGAGAGAGAGAGAGAGATGAAATTACTTTTTCTTTTTCACACTACAAGATATGAGAGATGAATTTACTTTCGTTTTTTTTTTAATGCAAATATGTGTGAGCAATTTGATGAGATATGTATCATTATTCTTTTTGACATTTTGTATCACTTACGTGCTCTATTTTACTCTATAATGTAGAATTGGGAAAGGATATAATTACTTCCCAGTGAAGCTCAACCGTTACTTTTATAATGAAAACAAAACAACAGTGTGATAAAAAACAAGAATAAGAAAAGAAACGAAAGTACGTAGAATCACGTACCATGAGCATGGCCTTAATGTGATCCCAAGTAAACTCAAATGATGATGACTTCTCTTGTTTCATCTGGATCAAGAGATCAAGAATATCATCTTTCATTGCATCTGGCCTGTTTGGATTCAAGTGCTCATCTATGAGTTCTTGATAGAACAAATCCAAATCCTTGGCGTTCTTCTCTAGACGGTTAGACATTCCCGAAAGCTTGTCAATCCAGCTCAATAAAGGAAGATAATCAGAAACAAAAAACCCCGCAAACATGGCTTGGGTCTCATGCAAAATCTGTTCAAATCTTCTCTTCTGAATGTAATCTTCTTTACCATACTTCTTCCCAAATCCGATTCGACATATTACCGAGCTCACGAGATTCATCGCCATCGAACTCAAGTTGATAAATTGAGACGAACAACAAAGGTCCGAAATTTCCTTGACCACTTTGGAGACCTCATCTTCAAGAATCGGATGATATGATTGAACCCTTTTCGTGCTCAAAAGATGAAGAACAGTAATCTTGCGCATTTCCCTCCAATACTCGCCATAGGGAGAGAAACCGACGTCCAAGCCATTATATGAAAACTTCTGGTGGCTAACAAGGGGTGGCCGGTTGGAAAACACTAGATCATTGGTTTTTAGGGCTTCTTTCGCGATTTTCGCTGATGAAATCACGAGCACTGGCCGTGAGCCGAGCCTCAAAGACATGATAGGACCGTACTTCTTGGAAAGGTTTCTTAAGAACACGTGAGGCCTTAAGCTATCATATTGATGCAAGTTTCCAATGAGAGGTAGTCCTGGAGGGCCAGGTGGGCTACGAATCTTTCTGGTTTTGTGTTTTGTCTGAAGATGAAAATTGAAAAGAAATGTGAAAATTATGAGAAACAAGAAGAAGAAGAAGAAGAAAATAAAACAAGAAGCGATCATTTTGATTTGAACAAAGTTTTCTGCAAGCGATTATTCACTTATAGTATATCATTGTGTTTCGATATTTCCTTGAACAAGTATCGATGATACATATATTTATATACACTATATAGAATGGTAATGCAAATCCTGCTTATCAAGATAAGATTTCGAGAAGATATTTAATTCTCTGGACTCATCATTACTAGAATTTTAATTTATCTTTAGCCACAAATTTTGTCTAAAAAGCTTTGTATCGCTGGTAGTGGCGGGATTAGAAGTCAATTGTTGTCGGGTACGGATCGATCTAACAATTCGTGAGACGTTATTGCTTGGTTTTCCAAGATATTTTGTTGAGTTATTCAACATAGTCCATCACAATTTCAGTGCAATGTTAAAGAGTAAAGGCATTTGTTTTCGTATCATTTTATATGAAAATCAAGAAAAATATGATAATGTAGTTTTAAGTAGTGGCCAGAGAAATTTTCCAATTAGTAGCTAGTCGTTTTTAGTGAATAGGTGAAAGTAAGAATCACTTAATTGCTTAGATCTTAGTTATAGTAGAAGAGCTGGATTACCGAATTCATGAACTCAATTTAACTTAACTATTTAAATAAAGTGGGATTAAGTTCTTCGGCACATAAGAAAGACGAGTATTTCTAAATTGAAACAGATAGAGTAAAACGATTATGTTGTCCTCCATCACGAAAAGAAGGACCAAAATTTCGTCCATTGAATTTAAGTCACTCATTTATTTCACTATTTCTTGTTTAATTAAATTTCTTTAGCATCAATGCAGCCTCTACATTTAGAATGACAACGATTCATTTAGAGATTCCCACAAACAGAAAACCTTTCATTGGTGAATGATCGCTAAACTATTATGGATGGAGCCAGATGTAATATTTGAAAACAATGAGTGCCTAATTTTTCTCATTTTGCTTTGAGAGAACAAAAAAGTGATTCTCCACTACATGTGATGTTGTATCTGAGTATGAAGAAGACTAAGGCTCCGTTTGATAATCACTGAAGTCTGAATCTGAATACTTAACACTTAACACTGAAGTCTGAAGTCTGAAGACTGAATTTACATTGTTTGATAAAAACGTCTGAATATGATGTCTGAAGACTGAAGTCTGAAGTCTGAAGACTAAGGCTCTGTTTGATAAAGTAATTAAGTACTTAATAAATTCAGAGCTTATCTAAGTTAATCTGTTTGATAACGTGAAATAAAATATCTTATCTAAAAAAGTGCCACTTAACTTCCACGTTTAACTGACTCCCTAAAATTAAATGAAATGGGTTTTACTTAAGACTGATCTCTGAACACGGTCAGTGTTTAGGATTAAAAGTCTATTTTCTATATACCGTTAATACCCCAAATACATCATCGTTTCTCTCGTCCTCCCCTCTAAAATCTTGGTTCTCTCTCATCCCCTTAACTAAAATCTTTGCTGCAATCTCAACGATTTTGAATGATAAAATATAATCTTCAATTTCCTATGCAATCTCTTGATCATCGGGAAGTTGTTAATTAGAGGAAAATCTAAAAATCATATTGAAATATAAACCCCTGGCCTGCCATCTTTCTTTCTCTGTATCATTGTTCTTGAACCAAATAAGAGAACATCAAACTCTTGGTTATCTTACCGATGGGCTGCTTAGATCGTTGTTGATTTGTTGAAAATAAAAAGAGAGAGTGAAATCTAAACCCTTGCCCCTTTTTCCTTTCCAAACTTTTTCTTGAAAAACGCAAAGACCAGCAGCCTTCTTCCTCTTGTTCATCGAAGCGAGGGACTTTTATCCTTCAAACAAAAGATTGAAAAGATCAGAAGAAAATCCGTCACAACTGGTGTGTATTGGTGGGTTCTCTTTCCCTTTTTATGCCGTTTGGAAATCTGATTTCATTTAGCATATATCCATTTTGCAATTCTTGTGATGTACGCTTGCTTCTAATTGAATGCCCAAAATTAAATCTGTTTGTCACTATTGTTTTGGACCTTTTCATAATTATAATCTGGAAGTTTGTGTTTTTTTTGCTCAGTTATTTTGAGTTCTTGCTGTAACTTATAGCTCATAGCTAGTGAGACGCACGGAGGAACACTGACGAACCTGCTTTTGGACCCTCTTTCAAGGCTATAACTTGGTCGACGCTGCTTTTGAAATGTAATTTTCTCTTTTAACTCCATAATTTTTCTTGTTGAATTAAGAATTTGATTATTTCAGCAATTTAAATTAAGTTGGTAGCTTTATCATTTTTTTTCTTGTTCTGTATGGATTTAGTTTTTGGATTTATGGAAGACATCATTTTATTTGGAGTCTCTGATATCTTTGGTTTTGGTTTAGTACTCCGTTTTGATTTTTGACCTTCTTGTGTATACTTCTGTTTGAAAGGGAGTTAGGTTATGATGTGTATAAATTACCATGTGAACTTTCTGAATTATTTATGTAGTTGCAATGGTTGGTTCTCATGAGAATATGGTTAGTAGTTAGACTCATGACGTGCATGCATTGCCAAACATCTAGACTTTTGATTTATTTATGAAGTTATAATGCTGACATGATGGTCGTTGTTGGCAAATATGATGACTTGATCTTTCTTCATTTTTTTCAAAAGAAATTGATTCTTTAAAAAAAAATTGGAGTGTGCATGCAATCGTATTGGTTATGTGGGGAGGGGTGGAATTTTTGTGTTCAAGAAAGGAAAAGAGAAAGGTTGTGTCTGTGAGGCATGAGAAATGCGAGAGATACTGTTGAGGGAGTATGTTATGAATTGATTAAAGAACTTGCAAACTTGATTGGGTAGTATTTGGGTGTGGTTTCGTAATTTCACGTGGTATGGCTAATTGATAGCTTCAGTTTCTATAGAAAATTATACTCAAATTCAACATGCAATCACAAATGTTTGAACTTGGGATCCTAATCATGTGAAAGTTTAGCTTGTAATAAATTTTATTTTATATGATGTCTATTTTTTCGGTCTTTTATTATTCTTAAAGACACCTTTATTGTTTAATGTAATATAAATAATACTTAATGAAATGTATCCAACAGGATGAAATAAGAAGAACCGGTTTCGAGAGTCACTTGGAAAGATCCAAAATTATTTAAACGTTACATAGAGTTGTGTTTAGATGAAGTAAATGCTAGACGAATTTCTGGAGGAAGTTTAAAGAAAGAATCTTGGGAGAGTATGAGGAAGACATTGAAGATGGAACTTGGTATTAACCTAACACAAAAGCAACTAAAAAATGAATGGGACTTTCTGAAGAGGAAAACTCAAGTATGGAATAAACTTTTAGGAATTACAGGAAACACTCACTATGATGAAGTAACAAACACAATAAATTGGAGTCCAGAGCAATGGGACGCATACATACAGGTAATTTATGTTATACAAATCAACGTAGTTCACTACAAGTATAAGTTATTTAAATTATTTTACCTTATTATACAGAGCAATCCAGAAGCAAAACAATTTCGATACAGTCCTTTGCCCTACGCAGATGAAATGATTGCATTATTTCACGGCATGGGAGCTACAGGAAAAGATGGTTGGGGTCCTTCAAAGGAAGGGTTGCCAGCTGATGGTTACAAGCCACCAATCATTGATATTGAAAATAATCAAGACAAACCATCTAGTTCATTTCAACCAAAAGAAAAAGGAAAAAAGGAAGCCAAGCGCCAAAAGAAAAACAACTCTGGGAAGTTGAATGATATGGATGATCATATAGCAACGGTTCTCAAAACTTTGGAGGAATTAGATGGACTAAGTATGGACGAGTACAATAAGATTTTAGATGAAATGGAATCATTAGAAGACACAGACTCAGTATACATAGCTGCCGCTTCCATTTTTTGTGAGGGCAAGGCCTATAGAGAACAATGGATTTGATTAAGCACAAAATCTGAAGAAATTCGCAAAAATTGGATAACGATGAATGGAAAAAAGCTAGGCTTACTTTAGAATGTAGAAATTTATGATACTTTGCCATTGATTTTTTTTTTTTGGAGTTTTTAATATTTTTCTCCTTTTTTCATTATTTCTTTTCGCAATGAATAAGTTGTAATTTGAGATTTAATGATTATTCATTATTGAGTTTTAATATTTTTTTCAGTTGTTTAAATTGATTCATTGATGTGTTATTTGAACAGATGTTATCCGAAAAGAAAAAGAAGATTCTAAAGATCTTAGCAATAATATTGATTCTAAAAAAGTTAAGAATTAGACGCATTGGACGTCGACCTGATACAAATTCAGCATTAGCTGGCAGTGCATATGTTGATGAACTTATTGGTGGAAATCCAAGCCATGCTTTAGATATCGAATGGAATTGCCTGCTTTTATGCACCTTTGTGGTTACTTTCGGAGTAGACAGTGGATAAAAGATAGTAGATACATCTCAGCTGAAGAAAAGATCGCAATGTTTCTTACAGGTATGTGTTTACACCATACAAACCGTGCGGTGAAGCGAAGATATCAACATTCAACTCAAACAATTCACAAGTACTTTTATGAAGTGCTTGAAGCTATGCTTACATTTTCAAAGGATATGATTGTCCCCAATTTTGATCCGAGTGTATTCGAGAGTGAACGTCTACACCGAACTCGTGACACGTTTTTTCCGGTGATTTTTGAATGTTATTTTTTTGATTATTTTAATTAACTAATGGTAGTAATCTATTTAATACATAGTGCACTAATTTTTTTTCTTTTTTTTTAAGGGTGCTATTGGAGCTTTAGATGGCACCCTTGTAAATGCAGTCATACCACGACACCAACAGACTCCATATCGAGGGAGAGGCAAGGGTGATTGCTTTCAGAATGTTCTTGCAATACGTGATATTAATATGGTTTACACATTTCTGTGAGCTGGTTGGGAAGGGACAACACATGGCTCTAGAGTACTTACGGAAACTATGCGAGATCCGACGAGTAATTTTCCATTTCCCCCGTCAGGTAAATGTTAATTATGACCATGTATATTTTTTAGAAAAATTTTATTCTTTTTAAGGATGTTTGAAACTCAATATTTTTTTATTGTAGGAAAAAATTATCTTTGTGATGCAGTTTATCCTCTTAC